AGACCAATGCTATTTTTCCTAAAGAAGTTGCAGAGAGGTTTTCAGATTGGAATGCCGTGACCCGGATTCGAACCGGGGTTGCTGCGACCACAACGCAGAGTACTGACCACTATACGATCACAGCTCCTGAGTGCTCAATCAGTTGTGTGTGTGAGTGAGTCCTTCCTGACCTACCTTACTGAGATGTCTTTAATCCCGGACACTCATTGAAAGCACAAAAGGTATGTCCATGATATCGGTTCTACACCTGTAGTGTATTATTTCAATTCTCCGAGGTTGGTGTCCTTCATTAATTTAGATAATTCCCTTCACTGATACTGGTGACTGAATGGGTGAATAATAGGTAAGGCGTGTTGTCAAGCTGCGCAAAGGCCTTATGATGATCCTTTCATTTGAGTCAGGTGTACTAAAGCGGGAAAAGACCTCAGGCATGGAAGACACTGCACGCACTTTCTCTACACAACATACAAGAAGTTCCATCCCTTTCTGCTACACAGAGTAGTATTACTTTAAGAACAAAGCTTAGCGTGTTTCTTTAAAACGGCGTTCTGCAGCAGCGACTTTAACCGTGGTCGCGGCACTCACAACACAGAGATCCAAAACAGCTAGTTCATAGCTCAGCAGAATCTGTTTAAACAAGCTGAACCTCTGGGGTTTGACTTTACACCATACTACACAAAGTTAGGAAGGTCAAGGTTTTCCAGACACTTTGCAAACACAAACATAGTGCTTTTGAACTCTGTGTAAAACGTTGACCTATGATGAGTGGTCATAAATAGCACATTCTCCAGCCTGGGAAAATTAACTCCTTCGAGCAGATTGAACCAGCGACCTAAGGATGACTGAGTTAACTCTCTACAGTCCTCCGCTCTGCCAACTGAGCTATCGAAGGCCACAAAGACAATATGCACTCAGCATCCAGCACATGTATAGAACTGACGTAGCTACGGCACATGTTTTTCACAGCCATTACGACCAAAACTTTGGACGTGACATTAGTCCCTGAATTTTACAGACCTTAGGTGTCCAAGTGAAGTCCTCAACAGCTGGTGCTCTTTAATATTTTACACATTTTCCTACTACAACACAGGGGATTCAAAATGCTAAATTGTCACCTTGACCAGTTTTGCAGGGGCCTTGCAGTGAACCCGTCATTTGAATCAGGTGTGTTGAATTAGCTAAGAAAGTAGAAATATCGCCTGGCCCATGTATAAAACATGTAGAAGAATCACTATCCTTTCCTGACACGGAGACCAATGCTATTTTTCCTAAAGAAGTTGCAGAGAGTTTGTCAGATTGGAATGCCGTGACCCGGATTCGAACCGGGGTTGCTGCGACCACAACGCAGAGTACTGACCACTATACGATCACAGCTCCTGAGTGCTCACTCAGTTGTGTGTGTGAGTGAGTCCTTCCTGACCTACCTTACTGAGATGTCTTTAATCCCGGACACTCATTGAAAGCACAAAAGGTATGTCCATGATATCGGTTCTACACCTGTAGTGTATTATTTCAATCCTCCGAGGCTGGTGTCCTTCATTAATTTAGATAATTCCCTTCACTGATACTGGTGACTGAATGGGTGAATAATAGGTAAGGCGTGTTGTCAAGCTGCGCAAAGGCCTTATGATGATCCTTTCATTTGCGTCAGGTGTACTAAAGCGGGAAAAGACCTCAGGCATGGAAAACACTGCACGCACTTTCTCTACACAACATACAAGAAGTTCCATCCCTTTCTGCTACATAGAGTAGTATTACTTTAAGAACAAAGCTTAGCGTGTTTCTTTAAAACGGCGTTCTGCAGCAGCGACTTTAACCGTGGTCGCGGCACTCACAACACAGAGATCCAAAACAGCTAGTTTATAGCTCAGCAGAATCTGTTTAAACAAGCTGAAACTCTGGGGTTTGACTTTACACCATACTACACAAAGTTAGGAAGGTCAAGGTTTTCCAGACACTTTGCAAACACAAACATAGTGCTTTTGAACTCTGTGTAAAACGTTGACCTATGATGAGTGGTCATAAATAGCACATTCTCCAGCCTGGAAAATAACTCCTTCAGCCGAGTTGAACAGCGACCTAAGGATGACTGAGTTAACTCTCTACAGTCCTCCGCTCTGCCACTGAGCTATCGAAGGCCACAAAACAATCTCAGCATCCAGCACATGTATAGAACTGACGTACTACGGCACATTTTCACAGCCATTACGACCAAATTTGGACGTGACATTAGTCCTGAATTTTACAGACCTTAGGTGTCCAAGTGAAGTCCTCAACAGCTGGTGCTCTTTAATATTTTACACATTTTCCTACTACAACACAGGGGATTCAAAATGCTAAATTGTCACCTTGACCAGTTTTGCAGGGCCTTGCAGTGAACCGTCATTTGAATCAGGTGTTGAATTAGCTAAGAAAGTAGAAATATCGCCTGGCCATGTATAAAACATGTAGAAGAATCACTATCTTTCCTGACACGGAGACAATGCTATTAGGAAAAGCTCACTAACAGAGACTTCACACAATACAAGTCCATTTTTCACAGAGTGTATATTAACAAGCTTGCGTGTTCTTAAACGCTCTGGAGGTTACCGTCGCGCACCACACACAGAAAAAGTATCATAGCTCGCAATCTTTTAAAAACTCTGGTTACTTCTTACACAAGTGAGGTCAGTTTCCAGACACTTTGAACAACTAGTGCTTTATCTGTGTAACGACTAATGGTAATCCTCAGTGAAACTCTTCGTGAACCACGCAGGTATGGTATCCAGTCCTCTGCCATGCTTGAGGAAGAATATAATCCAACTGTAATGCGAGCTACGCACGTTTACAGCCATTAGCAAACTTGGACGTGACATTGTCCAATTTACGACCTTGGTGTCCAAGTGAAGTCTACAGCTGGTGCTCTTATATTTTACACATTTTCTACTACAACACAGGATTCAATGCAAATTTCACCTTGACCATTTGCAGGCTTGCAGTGAACCGTATTTGAATCAGGTGTTGAAAGTAAAATAGAAATGCCGCATATAAAAATAAGAACACTTCAAAGAATGCAGAACTTCAGATGATGCCGACCCGGGAACTGCTGCGACACAACCGAGTTGCCACTACTCAGCTATCTAATGTTTGCTACACAAAGTTCAACCGACGACCATGCAAACGGGAGATCAAACGCTCCTATTCACAGTTCTAGATCGTTCATGTATGATCTCTACTGCGGGGACTCAGAACCTATTATAGTTATATGATAATCCCCGCTGTTATATTAGAATCCTTTCGAGTGTAATGTAGGGTGTTCATAGTCTTATTGATTTCACGAAGCTAGGAATGCTTCAACTAATTCTTCTACATGTTCTTAAAATAGTTCTAAACTTCGCACGTCGCCCAAAAGATCAAAGTCAGCGAGTTCAACAACTGTTTTACTAAAAGAGGATACTTCCAACATTGACCAAGTTACTGATACTTGGAAATACTCCGCTGAATTACCTATACCCCAGACAGTATAGCCGCACTAGCTCAGCCAAATGTAGCACTTTAATTGTGACGTTTCCTTAACCAATATGTAGCTAATTCCTATCAATTAACGTATTTCATTTCTAACGTTAGCATCAACTTTCAGTTCAATTAAGTTAGACTGTCAATTAGAAGGAAATTGTTCGACGGGTTATGCATTGAAATCAATTGCATGGACCATCCTATTCAACGAGTTGCGGAGGTCTTCGCTACCCTGATTCTACGTTGAGGAAAGTCCTCCTACTTCTACTGTATCATTATCATCTAGAGTGTTCCACATATTTAAAGTATTATTCTGACTCATGTTAATAATTCTATGTTCCTACAAGGTATATTGCTTCATGAGAGGTTTAATTGGAAAGTCTTACTTTACTGGCAGGTAAAGAAGCTTAAGAACCATTTTCCTCACAGTATGTCTTTAAAGAAGTTACCTTAAAGGAAGTTCAGTTTCTTTAACTTCGGAACACTTACCGTATATATTCACAAATCTAAACAAGTCTCTGTAAGTTAAACAGTGAACTCAGGGTTCAACATAACCAAAGTAGTGGTAGGTTCAAACTTTAACACGAATGTTGACCTGGAAACTTACCTAATAGTGTCGTTTCCCAGAAAACTTGAAGTTTAACACTGCTGGTAACTTGACTTCTCGCCCCAACGAATACACATCCACTGATACTCCACAGTTAACTGCACCTAGACAATTTACACTAGTCCAATTCAATTAGTACTAGATAAGCCTTGGCCATAATTTAACTTTCTAATACATTTTCAAGCCTAGGCACATCTTAATGTCCTATAGTCTTAGACCTTGTATTTAATTTAAATTAAAATGATCAAAACAGGATAATAAATTGACTACCATTTCAGCCTGATACGATTTGAATTGGGACAATTTGCCACAAGAGTTCCGACTGAAACTTGAACCTTTTAGTGTATTTTTTTTCAATCCCCGCCGGTCCCCCCCCTTCTTTTAATTTAGATAATTCCCTTCACTGATACTGGTGACTGAATGGGTGAATAATAGGTAAGGCGTGTTGTCAAGCTGCGCAAAGGCCTTATGATGATCCTTTCATTTGCGTCAGGTGTACTAAAGCGGGAAAAGACCTCAGGCATGGAAGACACTGCACGCACTTTCTCTACACAACATACAAGAAGTCCCATCCCTTTCTGCTACACTGAGTAGTATTACTTTAAGAACAAAGCTTAGCGTGTTTCTTTAAAACGGCGTTCTGCAGCAGCAACTTTAACCGTGGTCGCGGCACTCACAACACAGAGATCCAAAACAGCTAGTTCATAGCTCAGCAGAATCTGTTTAAACAAGCTGAAACTCTGGGGTTTGACTTTACACCATACTACACAAAGTTAGGAAGGTCAAGGTTTTCCAGACACTTTGCAAACACAAACATAGTGCTTTTGAACTCTGTGTAAAACGTTGACCTATGATGAGTGGTCATAAATAGCACATTCTCCAGCCTGGGAAAATTAACTCCTTCGAGCCGGAGTTGAACCAGCGACCTAAGGATGACTGAGTTAACTCTCTACAGTCCTCCGCTCTGCCAACTGAGCTATCGAAGGCCACAAAGACAACATGCACTCAGCATCCAGCACATGTATAGAACTGACGTAGCTACGGCACATATTTCTCACATCCATTACGACCAAAACTTTGGACGTGACATTAGTCCCTGAATTTTACAGACCTTAGGTGTCCAAGTGAAGTCCTCAACAGCTGGTGCTCTTTAATATTTTACACATTTTCCTACTACAACACAGGGGATTCAAAATGCTAAATTGTCACCTTGACCAGTTTTGCAGGGGCCTTGCAGTGAACCCGTCATTAGAATCAGGTGCGCTGAATTAGCTAAGAAAGTAGAAATATCGCCCGGCCTATGTATAAAACATGTAGAAGAATCACCATCCTTTCCTGACACGGAGACCAATGCTATTTTTCCTAAAGAAGTTGCAGAAAGGTTGTCAGATTGGAATGCCGTGACCCGGATTCGAACCGGGGTTGCTACGAATATATATATATATATATATATTTCTCACACCCATTACGACCAAAAGCTTGGGCGTGACATTATTCCCTGAATTTTAAAGTCCTTAGATGAATCAAGAAAGTCAATCAGTGCTCCAAGACAGTGCTCTTTAATATGTTACACATTTTCCTACTACAACACAGTGGATTCAACATGCTAAATTTTCGCATTGTTTTCTTGACCAGTTCTGCAGGGCCTTGCAGTGAACCCATCATTTCAATCAGGTGTGTTAAATTACATTTTATGAAGGAAAAATGGTCAGGGTTTTAAAGATATCTGGCAAACAAAAACATAGTTTTTTTGAACTTTGTGCAATACGTTCACCTTCGATGAGTGGTTACCATGATCTTTAGACCCCTTTTCTAAAGAGTCTAGTAGAAACATCACCTTTTCTAAAGGCAGTGGTCTGTGTAGACCAATGCTATGTTTCTATGTTTTTTAGGAGTATTGTTTTTTAGTTTGTTTAAAGATAAAGAACCACATTTCCTCCTAATAAAATAAACAATTCAAGTATAGGATATGTGTGCTTTATCATTTGATTCAGGTGATTTTGAAAACATTCAACCTCACTGTATGGTTGAGAGAATGTATTTTAATAATCCCTCAGTCTTACACACAAGCCTTCTTTGAGTTTCTTTCCAGGTGACCGAGATCAACATAGTGATCCCAAAGCTCTGTCATGCTGTTTTTGCTAAATATCAACTTGTTTGCTCGACACAGACTGATTAGATGATTGCCTTACCATTTCTATTAAGTTTGTGGAAGCTATTTTAACAGTTTCACTTTTTTTCTGACTGTTAATACCAATCCATTCAATACATTAAAGTCAAAAATAGAATACAATGTTGACTGCCTGTCATTGCAAGAACTGGCTCATGAAACTTTTCTAATGTGCATCTAAGCTCTTCACTAGTAATAAGAATGTTGATCAAGTCTAGGTTATGTTTCAAATCTGCACTTTAAAAACTTTACTGGCTATTTATTTCCTTTTTTAACTTTATAGAATATTTATGATTTGGATTACATGTTTTATTTGGTTAGAAATTTGTTTTGTTCTGTACGGTTTTGGTTTGGTTCTCTCAATGAATACTGAACTGTGACTTCAAAACTAAACTGGGATTTTACTGTACCATACAGTACCTACTAGTAGTTATGTTGCGTTTGTTGGCTTCCTTTAATAAATTATACACTGTGAGCACCTGAAAGTCTAACTGTCAGTACAGAAAATGCAAGAAGATGAGCAATGGATTAACCCTTTGGCACAGAATCCTTAAATACTTGACATAGACAAATGCATTTGTTTTTTCAAATTTTAATTTAAATGTTTACATTTAAATATTAAAATAAAATATTCTTTAAAAAAATTGCGTATGAAACACGTGTGCCAAATGCTGTTGTTATTTTCCAATAATTCCCAGAACTGTGTGATCTTGTTTGATCTCTATCATTAGCAATTCACAGCCCATTGAGTTTCCGTTAAAAGTGACAAACAAGCTCCCACAAAAGCTCCGTCAGCACCTCAGTGACATCCATTAGCCAGCATGTGCATGTGTATGTGTGTTTGTGTGGGTGGGGGAGGCAGGGGAGGCGGGGGCAAAGCTAATAACAGTCCTGCCCTTTTACTAAAATAACGTGAAAAGTGAAAATGAATTAATCCTGTTTCTGGTGAGTGAATTTTGTTGTAAAGATTTAGAAATGCTTGGAAAATACTGCCTTTGTTTTCCTATTTAATATATATTTATTTATTTAGTTAACTTTTGTGTATTCATAAAAAAAACTGGCTTTTAGCAATGTCACACTAGTGTAGACATTATATGCTTGCAGAAATGCCACTGCACTAAATTGATAGGTTAAAACCTATCAATTTAGTCTGGCATTTTCATAGGGTTTTAAGCTGGCCTTAGCATGTACCTATATCTGCTATCTTTGCTTGTCCTTGTTTTTCTTTTATGTCTACTTAACTTTTACATGCATGTTTTTTGTTCCTAATGCGTTGTGATTTTTATGTTATATGTGTTGTGAATTTGTGAAAAGTGCTTTTTAATTAAATAATTAATTCTGTGTGATGAATATTTGATAGAAATAATTTCTTGCCATAAGTGCACACTGGTTGATTCAAAGGGAGGTGCCTTAAAAGGTATCCAGATCAGATGACCTACATCCAGATCAGGTGACCCAGCTCAACTGAATCCTTTTGATGTAAGGGGGCCCTGAGATCTTAGCACCTTTAAAAAATCCTTGAAGTCAAAATCTTTTGTAAAAAGCAAAAACACCTTCTTTTATTGCTTTATGGTTCAATCTTGATATTCATGTGGCCATTTGTGGTTCTTTCCATTGTGGACAGGAGTTATTAGGGGCCTACAGAGTGGTCTGCCGCTATAGCCCAATACATAGCAAAGTGTGACGCACTGAATGTTAAGTGTCCTATTAGAACCAGAATAGATTTCTTGAGGAATTTGGGGTACCAGCAGCTCATCCGATGGATTGGACAACACCGGACAGCCTCTGCTGTATATATTCATGTCTTGGCTTCCCATGGCTCTTTTACTGGTTTAACCACTGGTCCTTCCTTGAAGCACTTCTAAGATATATTGACCACTGCCGATCGGAAACACCCAACAAGAGCTGCAGTTTTGAGATGTTCCTCACCAGTCATCTGCAATCATTTAGTTCCTTAGACTTGTCCATTTTCCTTCTTCTAACCTGTCTATTTTGAGGAGAAAATGTTCACAAGCTGCATAATTTATCACTCCCACAACCAGAAAACCCAATGGAGATATCATCTGTACTATATACTTCACTTGTCATAATCTTATGCTTGATTAGTGAATACAAAAACAAAGGAATGGGAGACTGATGTTAGTAATATAGACTGCTTAATCTAAACAGCAGTTTAGCATTTTACTTTTGATAAATCAATAAATAAATAGCTAAAAGGTCTCAGTGAAATATAAATACTTATAAAGTTTTCCAAGCAATTACAAAAAAAGGCATTGAGGATATGAAAAATGCATTGTAATCATTGCGAAAACACAGAGGTTCCTGCATTGAAAAATTATGTCTAATTATTATTAATAACATTGCAAAATTAAAAACGTTTTTTGAAAAAAACAAATCCTGACCATTTCCAGCGTATAGCCTTAACTGTATTTGTATATTGTTTATGATTTTAGGCCAAACAGACTGGCCAAAACTAATTATAAATCCAAACTCAGAATGGATGCGATACAGTTTCTTTAACCTCAGCAGATGGAGAAGTAGGTTATTAGCTGATCAATATTTGTCAGTACAAGGTGATCAGATTATTTTGGATCATTAGCTTTTGTTTGCTTTGCTAAGTGCTGGAACCACTCAATTAGAAATACAAAGTGTTTCTGGACATATGCTGACCAGCAACTTAATGCACAGACGTCACACTATCATTATGGTTTCCAAGTCGGTTTTGGACTCACTTAGACTTACATTTATTTACCTTAAAACAGGCGTTAATGTTTGGATCTAACAAGTGACAGGAAGAAGGTTTGCTTTTTGTCTTTATTACGAACTAAATCCTTTGTATTGTCTGTTCAGATGCATGTTTCCATTATAATACTAAAGAACTGAGAAAAGTGGGGCTAGGCTTGTTTTTGAGGAAGTGTTGGATTATAAAAGGAGGTGACTCCCTTCATTCTGCCTCACATCAACCAGCTCTCAGCTGCCTCTGCTCTTCATCTTGATTAGAGCGTCACATCCTCCTCAGACTCCCAACAAGTGAGTGATTCTCCTCCACCTCTCCTCATGACCTTCTCTGTGTTTTGCTGCTCCTGTCTGAAGAATCTGTCTCTGTTCATTCAGTTTTCCTCCGGCATGGCAGCGCTGTGGATCCAATCCTTCTCCCTGTTGGTCTTACTGGTTGTATCGTGGCCAGGCTCCCAGGCTGTCGCCCCTCCGCAGCACCTGTGCGGCTCTCACCTAGTTGACGCTCTCTACCTGGTCTGTGGGGACAGAGGCTTCTTCTATGACCCCAAGAGGGATGTGGACCATCTTCTGGGTGAGACCTCTAAACTCCATCACACGTAGCTGATTCATTTGTTAGAGAAAAATATTTGTTCATTACTTAAATGAAGTTTAAAAGCAGATTTTTAGGTAGGAAACTATATAGTAACTTTAAAGGCTTTAGAGAGGACTACAAGTCATGCCATCAGGTTGAAAATCACATATTTTGAATGGTTATTTGTGTCGTTTATGTGTAATTTTTACCTCTTTGTATATTTTATGTCTGTGTGAATTTGCATCTCATTCTAGCGCCAGCATAGCTTTTTTGGTGATTTTTTTTTCTAGTTGCTTTGCATCTAATTTCATTTTTTTGCATGTCTTTCTGGTCATCTGTGACTCTTTTTCACATTAGCTTCTTATTTACTCTTAATTGCTGTTATCCAAATGCTGTTTTTAACTAAAGTTTTGACATGAGACCTGAGAGTCCCACTCAGATTAAAAAGTTTAGTTCTGTTTCCTTCTTTTGTTGCACACTTAAATATAATCACTTATTATATGTGA